TATTTATTTTTCTGTAACTAATCCAGGAAATTTTTCCATAAAAATGTTAAAAACTGTGTACTGAAAAAACACTTCCGTTTGTATGCAACTGTATTGCTGGTGTATAACGCTTAGAGCAATTGATATTTTAATCCACTTATTTAAGAGTATGTGTATTGTTAAAAAATTCATGCATTTGCTACTGAAAGTATCTTTTCCCAATCCTTTTTTATAAGGCATTATACAATAAATTTTGTGAGCTTTGCATATATGTTGTCATTGCTACAAATATAGAGCTTGAAAACAGTCGTAGGACACAGCTATATTAATGGGGATTTCTGTGTTTAATTTAAATTTATTTCTAGAAGTGATAAGCAATATTCCCACTCCCATCTTAAGGTTAAGTTTTTTCCTCTCACTGAAGTGGGGATTTAACCCGTGCGTGCACAGTACACTATATTCCCAGCTTCTTGTATTTCTCATTCTGAGTCAGGGTCTTGCTAACTTGGTCAGGCTGGCCTCAAACTGCAGTCTTCCTGCTTCAGAGCTCCCAAGTAACTGGGGTTACAGCACTGCACCTCAACACTGGGCTTATTTAGTTTTCATAGGTAATTCTCCTACAAGAGGACAAGATTATGAACTTGTTTACATAGCTCGTCTTTTGCAGTTCTTTTGCTGGGACACCCATCCCTCTTCACCATGTCACCAGGCACTCCTGACCTTCAACCATAGATCTGCTTGACACAGACAAGCAGGTGAATATTGCATCATGGATCCCACGTCCTTTTTTGTTCTTATTTCATTCGTTAGTTTGTTTCAAACCATCACAAGGAAAGCAAGTAATCATTTTCTTAACTTAGTTTTACCTGAAAACAGTTATCAGTTTTGCTAAGCGAATGAAACCAAATGATGTTTCCTGCTAATATGATTGAAATTGTACAATACTTATGCAGGAATTCAAACTATTATAATGTTTATTCTTAAACTTCCTAACACTGAAGTATTTTAAAATTGGGCCTACATTTCTTACTTTACAAAAGCATTTTGTTTTGATATGTAATTCCATAAATTTGAATTTATTCCAGAAATACCAGGTGATTGTATCTTTCACTGGAATATTGTCTTTGTATTTTCTTATTGTACATAATATAAAAGTTAATATAATATTTTACATTAACTCTGTATATGTAAAACTGTGCACATGGCACCATATATACTGGGATATTTGTATATTTTATGTAGTTTATTATTTCATGAGTGTACCAGTTCCCCAAATGAATATAAGTATGACATTGCAAGCCAATGTTAATAAAAATATAACAACATATGTACTTGTAGTTTGTTATTGAAACCATTGGATGGAAACTTTAAAGCACCCACAGGTAGCTTTGAGAATTACACATTTCACATTTCCTGAATAGTCT